ACCTCACCAGCAGTATCTGCTCCATGTTGAGAACTTAGTAAGAAAAAAGAAACAAGATAGAAACTCATGTTTCTAAAACTTTCACTTTTAAACCTATTTTTAAGTGAGGGATGGAGGATTTTAAAAGATTTCATCATTCGTACACACACAAAGCCCTTGGAATCTGATAATAATCCATGTCAGTTAAGTATTTTCAGCCTGAAAATCCGAGTGTGAAGTACTTGCACTTGAACAAAACACTTCTCATTTCTGTCACGTGTGGACACATCTGAGAGGTAGTGGCTCTGCAGTAGAAGGGCAAGTGGAACAGAATCTTTGACATTGGCTGGCTCAGGTCAAGCTTTGTTTGTTTCTCAGCATTCAGGGAGAGTTTTTAAAAACCCTCTTTGCTTCTCCCTCAGAGAAGGACCTCAGTGTTGTGCAGCAGTGGGATTGAGGAAGAGTCCTGTAGCCCAGGGACTGGCAGCGCCTTTTGTCCGCAATGGAATCGGCTCTGAAGCTCCTTCCCCACCAGCCCAGCCCGGTAATTGCAGAGCTCTGAAGATGAATTGCACTAATACATGGTCAGGCTGTGATGATACATTAATGCAATATATCTCCACAGCTTTAGGGCTGTCCAGGAGCAGCGGGAGGGGCATTAGAGTGCCTTCAGTCCTATCACATCCTGCACACGTGGTAAATGGAAGAGGGAAAGGGAGAGGGAGAGGAGGGAGAGGAGCCATCATATGGATATGTTCAAGTCTAAACTCAGCCTAATTTCTGCTTAGTGAGCGCTACCACTGGTTTCCTCAGCGTTGGTGAAAACTCTGTTATTTTGCACATGCTAAACAGTTCTTACAGGACTTTTGGTGGTTTGTTGGGTTATACTGGAAATGTTTCTGTGTCATCATTCCCTGGAACCCGGACAGAATGAACAATGGGTGTTCTGGTGCCAGGATCTGCCTTCCACTCAATGTGGGAAGATCTGTGTTTATCCAGCTAAATTCACAGTTTCTGAAAATCTATTCTTCCAAATGCATCCCTGCATCCAGATCATTATCCTGTTCGGGAAATTAACTGAAAGCTGAACTGGGAACAATGGAGATATAACCGTGAGAAAAGGAGCAAGAGAGCAGGGAAGAACTGAAAAATATGGAACTGGATGGAAGTAACCAGGGATCATAGAATCCTGGACTGATTTGGGTTGGAAGGAACCCGACAGCCTACCTTGTTCCACCCCCTGCCATGGGCAGGGACACCTCCCACTATCCCAGGTTGCTCCAAGTCCCGTCCAACCTGGCCTTGGACACTTCCAGGGATGGGGCAGCCACAGCTTCTCTGGGCAACCTGTGTCAGGGCCTCACCACCCTCACAGCTGAGAATTCCTCCCCAATATCCCATCTAAATCTCCCCTCTTTCAGCCTAAAGCTGTTCCCCCTTGTCCTGTCACTGCACCCTCTGAGCATCCCAATCCCTCTGCGGCTGGAGAACCTCCCTTTTGGAAACTTTTGTCAAAACGAAAGTGGAAAAGAATTTTGACATAACAGCACCTGAACTTTGGAATGCAGAAACATTTTATCAAAAGATTTCTGAATGTCTTTTGTTAGTTTTGCTGCCGACAGAGCTTAGCCAAATCCTCAGTGTAACCCACACACACAGGTTGGACATACAAGTGCTAAAGCTGGAGTTGTGTCAGAACTGAATTCTTTAGCATTCTGGTTTCATTCTTAAACTATCAATGATGCACTTTGCTCTGAAATGTCAGAACAAAATAAGTAATACCTGCAATTTATTCGGGTGACATTTCAACAATACAGATTTCCAGATTACAAACTGCAGCCTGAGCGTTCCGCTGAGTGTGGAGATTTGCTGCATTTACATAATGGGGCTGTGTAATGAATATTTATATAATGAAAGCATTTACATAATGACTGCAAGTTAAACATGCACAATAAAGATTCCAGGCCAATGATTTACAGACTGAGCTTAAAAATCACCTCAAAATGTATTTTATTTTTATTCCTACGAAAGGTTCAATTTATCTCGTGTTCCAAAAAATTGAATCCAACCTCGTGCAAGTCAAGGCTGCGTTGATGTAAATCATGATCATATCCTGGAATTAGTCTACATTGAGTCATTTGTATTCAGAGATTTCAGTTCCTTATCTTTTAGCAGCAGCTTTGACAAACAATTTGAGAATATTCTAAATATGCTTGGTTAATATAATTTAGTGCTGGATTGGAGATGCGATGCTTCCCTGTGAACCTCATTAGTGCCACTGGGAATTACAGGGCAAAACTGGGAGAAATTAGAAAGTGCAGATGAAGTTGATGTTTAGAGAGAGGTGAGGTGCTGCAAACAGAATATAAACCATTACAGAGACCTGATGTTTGCAACTCTCTTGCATTTTCTTTTCTAATAAATCCAGGCTTTGTGTTTGCCAGGCTGATGTTCCCTGGGCTACGAGAGCCATTTGTAACTGTCTGCAGCCGGAACATGCACCTGAGCACAGAAGTGTTACTGGAATGGAAGAAGTCTTCTTTATTTGTTGCACTAGCAGAACATGTGCTGGAAATTGTACCTTTGTTTCCATCACATTTTACAAGATTTTTGCACCAGAAGTTATTTGGATCCTGTGTTCTTCCATTCCAGACCGAGCTGTGTCCATTAATCAAGCAGGGGACACCCAAGGCACGTCTCAAGGCACAGAATCCCAGAATCACTGAGGTTGGAAAAGAGCTCCAAGGCCATCAAGTCCAAGGTGTGACCAAATCCCCACCTTGTCACCCAGAGCAGAGCACTGAATGCCAGGTCCCAGTGCTCCCCCTTGTTGCCCACCACTTGGAAAAGGAGGGTTTGTGGGGATGCAGGTCTGTGACATGGCATCTGCAATGAATTTGCCAGACCTCAGCACTGAGGCTTGTGAGGTCTGTGACATGGTGTCTGCGATGACTTTGCCAGGCCTCAGTACTGAGGCTCATCAGGGCATCTCTGCCTGGGCTGTCCTGACATGCTGCATCAGCCTGGGAACTCTCCCTCCTCTCAGAGACGTCCCTGCCTAGTCTGTGGTATCTTTGCCTCTTTTTTGTCTCCCATGCGCACTATAAACTAAAAGAGGAGAGATTTAGATTAGAGATTGGGAATAATTTCTTGGCTGTGAGGGTGGGAAGGCCCTGGCACAGGTTGCCCAGAGAAGCTGTGGCTGCCTCATCCCTGGAAGTGTCCAAGGCCAGGTTGGACGGGGCTTGGAGCAACCTGGGAGAGTGGAAGGTGTCCCTGCCCGTGGCAGGGGGTGGGACTGGATGAGCTTTAAGGTCTCTTTCAACCCAAACCAGTCTGAGATTCTGGGATTCTATTCATATCCACTTCCAAGAAGCAGTGAGAAGGCAGAGTGAAGCAAGAATTTGACACCTAAAGGGAAAACAAAGAGAGGCTATACCTGCCTGCCCTTAGACCTTAAGTGGTGGGAACAGCTCCTGTGGGAATACCTCCTGTGTACCCACAGTTTGCTGTGCTGGGCACTTGGCAGGAGCACTCTGAGCACCCCCATTGTCTCTCTCTGTTCCACAAGATCTTCCAAGAGTGTTTGCCTCAAATTCCATTTTCAGTTCTCACTGTGGTAATGGATGAGCACACCTATCGTTGTTTGCAGCCCTTTTGTCAAGATACAGAGCCAGGGGCTCACTGGAAGCCCTTCTGATTACCTGCATTAATTTTCATGGAGGCATTAAGGTTGAAAAACCCTGCAAGCTCATCGAGCCCAACCATCGCCCCAGCACTGCCAAGGCCACCAGTCACCCATGTCCCCAGGTACCAGATTTTCATTTTGCCTGAATTCAGGAGGAGGAGACTGCCTATTCCTCAGCCTCTCCTGCAGCCTGAGTGCACTAGTTCTCCTTTTCTGCTTTATCCTTCTCCAGGAACATTATAAGAGCTCCTTTCTGCAGCCACTCAATGCTTTAAGCTATTACTCTAAAGTATCACCACGGCTTCTAATAAAATTTTATTTGACATTTAGTTAAAATCCATTTTCTGCTACAACTGAATTTTTCCTCAAGTCCCTTGATGGACACTCCAAGCCAAATTCATTGTCATTGTCTTAAAGGTCAAAAGTGACCTTTTTTTCCCACATCTTGCTTTGTAAAGCAAACTGTTCCTCAGGATTATGAGAGGCTGTGACAGTCCATGAAAGCCTCCTTCCCTGCAATTACACGGATTTTATAAAAGTTGTGGGAGCAGAGAAAGCCTTTCATTGCAAAATCAATCATGACTGTAGAGTCCCTGTAAAAGAATCAGTGCAATGCCAGTCCAGCCAGCTGGGAGCAGGGAGCAGCTCCTTCCAGGAACACCAAATCCATCCTAATTTCCAGAGATAGGGAGTGGAGATCTCCCCACAGACCCTGCTTTGCTCCCAGGGAGCAGCTTTGGTGGCTCTACACCAAGCCAACAGTGGAGAGATGCCTATAACATTAGCCAGAACTTTTCTTTAAATATGTTATGAGGAATCAAAAGTATAAATGGAAATATCAGATAGAAGGGATACCTTTAGTTGCCATTTTATTTGCAATTTTTCCTAAATATCATTTACTTCATTCATTAAAACCATTCCAATAAGCTGTGCTGCATCAAGGAATAATTGTTCAATGGTATAGAATCCTAGAATATCCTGAATTGGAAGGGACCCATGAGGATCACTGAGTCCAGTTTCAGGCTCTGCACAGGACACCCCAAAAATTCCACCCTGCATCTGTAGTTACAGTAAAATAAATGACAGTAAATTAAATCTATTACATGATGTGTTCATGTTAAAACATACTTATTCATATTTAAGAGGCCCTTATGTCTTCATTTGTCTGCTATAGTAGTATCCCAGTATTCCCTGATCTCACCCAAAATCTGAAGAAGATTCTTTTCTAAAGGTCCCATTAGACAAGCACTTTTTAAGGCAAAAATGCTGCCACTTGTCCCACTTGTGACTCCCCAAAACACTAACCCTGTTGGGGTGGCAGTTCCACACTCACCAGATGGGGAGATGTGCCTCCAGGAGATGGAAGGCTCCGGCTTCCCTGTGGCCAGACACACCAGGGTCACGTTGCTGCCTTCGTTCACAATGATGTCACTGGAGATGCGGAATATCTTGGGAGACACTGGAATGAAACAAGGAGAAAGGGGTCATGGAAAGCTGCTGACTCAGTACAATCCCAGCAGAGCACAGAGAGTTAGCTGGGAGAGCTGGGATACCTGGATTTGCTGGGAGAGCCGGGATAGCTGGATCACCTTTGGGATAAAATTACAGGCAGGTATTGAAATGCAACTGTGCAAACCCTCAGTGAGGTGTGAGCACAACTATTTTCATCAGGTTTGCAGAGCTCAGCCTTGGATTCTAAATGCTGCAACTGAGAAAGCAGCAATTCCCTCTGTTTTGTGCAAAGCAGGGGTTGCTCTCGATTTCCCAGGAAAGATGGATGCTCTTGTTGAAAGGCTGAGCTTGCTCGTGACAGTGTGTAAAGAAGAGAAAATGAAATTGTTCTTGTACTTTTAAAAATCAAGATGCCTGTTACATCCTGCCTGTGTGTACTTGGAGAGTTGTATCTTCTCCTGCAGAAGACTAAAATACATTTATTTCTGTTGCCTCATATTGCTTTGAGGCCCCCAGCAGCACCAGGGCTAAGAAAAAAATAAGCTGGATTTTTTTTTTCTTTGATTTCATCAGCAGAATTCTTCACTAACCCCATTTTCTGTACTATTTATACACCTGGGCATCAGAGAACAGAGTTCCATGTGGATGGAAAGTGATGGAAAGCATTAAATGGCCTGTCCTTAAGGGAATGCTTTACTTGTAATGTTACAAAGGGAGAAAGGGAACTCGGGGTCCCAGCAATGAAAGCAATTCTGGCTTTCAGTGTGAATCTCTCTAAAGAAAAAACCCTCTCCAGACTTTCCTGAAGCCAAGAAGGTCTGATGCAGGAGAAATGTGCAGGCTTTTGTCTGGGTTTGAGGTTGATCCTCTGGAATTTTACAGTCTTTCTAAGGGAAGATTGGACCCATGACATGGTTGAAGGTGAAGAGTTTTCCAGACTTACAGAGTGCAGATTAAGTGATTTTCTCTTAAGTATGTGCTTTGTTCATTTCCTAATTGACTGGGCTCCTCTTTAATCTTGGTTTTACAGCAAGGAAATGAAATAAAACCTAGTAGTGTCATTACAATGACACTGAGCAGGTCACATCATTCATTCATTTCCAAAATAGAATTAGAAAAGAAATGAATAAGAGATGTACATCAATTAAAATAACATATAAATAAGCACAAACATGTAGTCCTGCTGTATAATGTAATTCTGTAAATTACACAAATGACACAATATGATCTGGTACTTGTGGAGAATTGTTGATGTTATTATTATCAATGACTTCCCAGGAAGATTTTCTTTCCCAAGACAGAAATTGGCTTCCACAGTATTTCTGGAACCTCACAGTGTGAGACAAATCAGGATTTCCAGTATATCAGTATGCTGCTAATTTTTCTGCTATTTACTGACTGATAGGGATCATTACATTCAGATCACTCAAATCTGTGGAATTTAGTAATTATGACTTAAATATATATGCATGAACACAATGGAATGTTAATATTTATTAAGAATTAAGAAATGTTTATTTTGCATACGTATTTCTTCTGATACCTCTAAAGACTTTGATCTGTGAGCAGATTTAGCATTTCATATCTGCTCTGCCAAGCCTTGAGTGCAGATTAAACCCATCACAGAGCTCCTCTACATTTCAACAACTACAGCCTTCCACCCATCTCACGTGGCAGCTGAGAAGGTCAGAAAAAAATTAAATATAGCAGCGAATAAACATTTATTCAGTAAATGGATTAACGAGAGGTAGAAGAAATGAGATATTAAACAAGGATGAAAGAGGAATTAAACTCCCAAGTAAATTTTGTGCAGGGGTCCAACATGAAAAGTACTTTGCAGTAATCTGACTTCTCTTTTTAATGTTTTTAAATGAGAACCTTTCCATTTCAGACAAGGTGTGTAACCAAAGGCCTGGGAAGCTACTGTGAGAGGGAAGGCTGAGAGAACTGGGGTCATTCAGCCATGAGAAAAGAAGGTTTAAGAGAGACCTTGTCACCTTGTCACAGTATTTCAAGGGTAGCTGAGGAGAACGTGGAGACTCCCTTCTTACAGGAGTCATATGAAAAAGGTGAGAGGTAACAAGAACACAAGAGGAAAACATGTCACAGTAGAAACCATCAGCCACAGAATCATTAAGGTGGGAAAAGCCCTCCAGGATCATCACGTCCAGTCTTCGACCAAATATCCCCCATGCCCCTTCCAACCTGGCCTTGGACACTTCCAGGGATGGGGCAGCCACAGCTCCTCTAACCTGTGCCAAGGTCTCAGCACCTCCCCCAGTAACAACTACAGGGAGCTGAACATAAAGGCAACATGGGCAGTGTGTCCTCAGTGAAACGTGGTAGAGACACCACAGTCCTCCTCCCACCACACACTCCACCCACCCCTGGGTGCTGTGCACTAAGGACTTGTGACCATCCCCAGTTCTCTGAAGAGCTTCTCCAGATCATCTTTGAATACATGATTTTTTTCCATGTACACACAGGTTCTGTAATATTTTCTGTACATCTGCCTTTTCAAATTTCAAAACCAAATCTCATTTAAATATATCTAAATATAGCTGTGAAAATGCAAAATATGTTGTTGGCGGGGCTTTTTTGAGATGTTTATCAGAGATGTGACTCATCAGGTCTCGACCCGGGCTAACAATCTCCAGCAATTCATCCCACAAGCAGATGGAGCAGGTCCCTGCTCAGTCCCCATTCGCTCCTGGGAGTGGCAGTGATGGGGGCGTGGGACAGACATGCTGGCACAAGAAGTGGTTCCTCTGAGGTGGCCAAGGTAGTCAGGGCCAGTGGTACAGCCCTAAAAGTCTTCTCACCCCCTGGCAATGGACAGCCTGCCCACAGCACACAGGGAAGCTGCCTTTCCCAGGGCAAGATCATCACCTGCATCTCTGACCCACCCTGCTGTAATGACACATTAGGGACCTTCATGGCCTGAGCCCTCTGCTGTAAAGACTGAAAAAATCAAGTGAAGCATTGATTTCTCTCTGCAGACACAATAATGCATAATTTTGCTTTCCTAATATGCAGATTGATTTCATTAACTTGTGGAATATCTCGAAATCACTGACATGACACAGGAAATAGAATCTTATTCTTCTTTTTATGGCTTGGACATAATAATTAATTTTTATGACAAATACAAAGAAAAATTAGAATGTGCTTATGAGGGTTATTAAAAGCAGGTTTGAACTCCATTTGCCACTAATTGAGAATCTCTATGATTCCTCAGTTTGCAATCACCACATCCCCCGGTCTCTTGGAAACCTTCCTGTTACAAATAAGCCTGTTTTCCTGAAATTTTCATGAATTTTAGTGCTGCACTTGCGTGAAGATTTCTTGTAAGAAATCCCTAAATTCCAGTTCTTTCTTTTTCCTATTCTTCACATTTTAGTCAGGACAACGAAGCAACTTGTGGCTGAATAACTAGACACAGCCAGAACACTCAAATCATAGAAGTATGGAATCATTAAGGTTAGAAAAGACCTCTAAGATCATCAACTCTGATCATCAATATGGGAGTGGGGGAAGAGAAAAACAGGACAGTTAATCAAAGGAAAGATTTAAAGAAAAAACCCAACCCAAATCAGGTTGAAATGTGGTTATCAGGAATAGTTACTATACCTGAATCATTTGGGAACGAGAAGAGGGTGAAGCATTGACAGCTACAGGGTCTGCAAGGGGCCACAGGACCATCTGCAGAGCTCATCAAGAACCATCTCCAAGCCCCACCGAGGTGTGAACACTGCCAAACACAGCACCCGAGGTGTGTTCATCCCCCAAAACAGATGTCACTTATTTCCAGGAGATTTCACTGGCTGCTGTCCCACCCAGCAGTGAGAGCTGCTAATCCAGTCCCCCACTAATGAGCCAGGGAGGTGTGGGCAGCTCCACCACCTGCTCCTGACCCCAGCCCAGCTGCAGATCCAGTCCTAGTCTTGCTTCCATGTGGTTTGGGAGAAGATACCATCCAGCCAGTGGCTTTATGTAGGGCATGCCAAAACTTGCTGACCCCAAACTAAAAATGGCAGGATTGCAGAGTCCCCTTAAAGCCTGGACTCTGCAGAAGTTGCCATCAGTGCAGAGGTTGGTGAACCAAAGTCACAGTGCAGAAAGCAAATGTATAAGTTGTCATAAATCGGCTGCTTTGAATGCTCCCAGAAATAAGGAACTGTTTGAAAACAGTCTTAATTCTGTTAAGGTTTTAAAATTATTTATATAATAGCATCATAGAATCATGGAATAGTTTGTGTTGGAATGGACGCTAATGCCCATCCAGTCCCACCCCCTGCCACGGGCAGGGACACCTTCCACTATCCCGGGCTGCTCCAAGCCCCATCCAACCTGGCCTTGGACACTTCCAGGGATGGGGCAGCCACAGCTTCTCTGGGCAACCTGTGCCAGGGCCTCACCACCCTCACCTAACAAAATCATTTGTGTAGTTGAACATATCACACTATTGATCATAAAAAAGATAACTGTGCTTTTCAGAGCAGTAAAATAATTTATCAATTTTTTATTTAAAAAATGCTTAATTTCTATACATTTTATTGTATTTTTTTGTTTTGTAATCAGATGCACTGAATATTTACTGAGTTGTAAAATACCCTCAAATCACACATGATTTTTAGAGTATAGTTAATACAGGTTTTAAATCAGGGGAGCAAATAAAATAAAGCAGAACCACCAGCCTGTGCAAATGGGGCACAAATCTTCATTTACGTGACAATCAGTCTCCAACTGGGAAAACCAAGAATCTTTTGTATTTTGCATTTTCCTGATTAGTTCCTTGGCACAGTTTGATTGAGGAGCATTGCCTAAAGGTCCCACTCCCCCCTTATTAAACATACTTTGTCAGCTTTGGCAAAGTGGGGCTGAAAAAATAAATTATGGGTGGGCTGGGAAGATAAATGGTTGGGCCTTGAGTCTTCATTTATTTCCAATTCCTGTCAACACTAAAGCCTGACAAAAACCTCATAAAAGCAGCACTCACATAAGGTT